GCTGGGCTGGCATTATTATTCTCTAGCCCGTGTTCCCTGGAGATTTTTGGTTTAATTCATTGGCTATTTAACACTATATCCTCCTAGCACTCTATTTAAAAAGTGCAAACTAACATTCAGCACAACATCTAAAACTGTATTACTAGTGAGAACGTTTGAAAAATTATTAGAAAGAAATCTCTAGGGCTCAGAAATCTATTAAAATTTCAGAAGACTAACTGAAGAGACTTATTTATGTGACAGAACTCTAAAAATTTTTTAAATTAGTGTGAGTGTTATTTCCTAGTAGTCATAGCAACCAGAACATGATGCCTCAAATATTGCTTATTTGAGAGTCCAGTATGCATTTTTAAACTACCCTTAAAATTGTAATTACATACCAATATACCGCTAAGTAGTCCTAGTTTGTGCTAACATACCAATTCATTGACTTTTGCATAAAGATTTACTTCTCATAGTGCTTAAAGGTAAGCTAGTTCTGAGGCATGGAGACAGTCCCCTCCTAGTCTGGCTTACATGATTTATTCTCCGTGAAGAACCTTTTTTCATAAATAGTAAAAAACCATTTTTCTGCTCAGCAGGTCAAGGCCTGGAAATTTAATTTATTCATATTTATGTGCCCAATGCCTAGAAAACTTTCTGGCAAATAACAGGCATTTGATAAATGTTAATTGAGTCCAATTATCCCAAATCCTAAATGTGTAGGAATTAATAAAATTTTACTGCATACAAGTCTTTTTGAATTTACATATTATAAAACTAAGATTATAAGTCGTTTAAATACTCATCAGACTGTGAAGCTGCTAAATTTTCCACTTAGAAAGCCCCGCTGTATATTACAAATATATTTATTGTATCATAAGTGTCTACTAAATAGAGTTTCAGGAGCCTTAGATGAGGCTTAGATGAATCAGCAGTGGAAGATACTGATATTGATAAAGCATTGTTTCAAATGTCCAAGCATACTATTTGTCAGTCTGTTAAATTCCTAGGCATTAACATACAAGATCTAGTCCCATAAAAGTAACTGGAGTTGGAGGAAAAACCAAGACCTAGCTCTTGTTTTTCCTCTTTTTTCAGAAGTTACAAAGAAGCACTCTAATGATTTCAAGAAAAATACATCAACTAGGAATTGAGTCTCTGAATTGACTCAGGTGGAAAAAAATTAAGGTACGCAAGGTCTCAGATGGTATTTTTTCTGTGGTATTGGAATAAAGGAAGTTGTTAGCATGCACACTGATAAGCTCATCTGGTTCTATTAATTTAACCATTAAAGTTGAAAATGGTAGAACACCGTATCCAAAAAAACCAAAGTTTTCAACAGAGGTAGAAGCAGTCAGAAAGTTTAAGACTAGGAAATTCATAGAAGAGATTAAAGAGGAAAAAATATTCTAAAATCTAAGAAAAGAATGTAACAGTGGTTATATAGCCCTTTGTTAGTAGCCAGTTTTCTTTTTTCCTTCTCTATGTGTAAAACAACACAAATAAAAATATGAGTATTACATAATGTAGATGCTGATAAATTTAATTTTCCTCACTATACATCAGGAGAAATGTTAAGTAAATTATAGAGATTCCTACCAAATGTTTAATGCTATTACATAATGCTCAGTCTTAAAATGTTCATGTCTCTATTCCGAACACTAAAAATTATAATTCTTTTATAGGACATCATAACTTTTCTGTGTTGTGGAGGAAAAAAAACGAACATACAAATATAACTAATTATGTTTATAATACCCTAAAATAAAGATATTTTTCCATTAAACTACTAATAGGTACATAAATATTTGTCATTACATGAACCTAGATTTTGCATTAAAAATTTGCCTAATTGCTTTTTAAAATAAAGTGAGTATATTAATTTAGCTATCTTATATCCTTTATTTTGGCCTAGTTGGAAAAAAATTTCAGTGGCTTAGGTTGGTGCTTCAGATTATGAGGGAAAGTAGAATGCCATATATTGTCCATAATTTTGCTATCTTTGATTCTTCTATTTCAAAAATCAGTATTGCTAAGGGCTATGGCCAAGAGTAGATTTTAATGCAAAGTTAATACTACCAGAATAAGGCATTCCCAGGAAATAATTAATGGTAAATTTTGAACACTTCTGCCAATTATAAACACAAGCATATTTTAATTAACCAATAAGTAGTTATTGATTACCAATTAGTGCAGGGCTTTGTGGGAGAAACAAGTATAAGACATGTACTAAATCCATTACAAATATCGAGTGGTACTCAATATGCCCTCTAGAATACCCCCTTCGTGACAGCCAAATGTGTCTGAAGAACATTTGAAGACGGACAAGAACAACCATGGGGCATTTTATTTTGCAAATTTTAAAAAAAGCAATTTTCTAAGAACAAAAGGACTGCATCTGGCTTAGCAAATTTATAAAGATCGTACTGTACTGCCCTCATTTTTTTTTTTATTGTAGTTCAAGACTTCTTCCCACAATGGCTTATTGTGCACATTACAAAGTCTTCAGGGTCTTCAGAATTAAAGTGACAGAGTATTTTTTTTAAGCACACTTGAGAATGGATCATTCTTCCTTACTCTTAATAAAATATGCCCTCACAGACTTCTCCAATAATTCTAGTCATCTTGACAAAAGAAAATCACCAAGACAATACAATGATTTTACAAAGAGGAAGAATGACAGTTTCCCTTCTACTTTTCAAAAATGTTTTATAATATGATTTGAGATTGCCTTTATTCAATAGGCTGAAAGAGGAATCAATTTTTACAAAGTGACACTCTCTATAATAAAGAACACCTACACTTCTGAACAACACACCCATTCCCACACAATCACAATGTTATTATTACCATTAGAATCTTTTCCAGAATAATTTTCTCAAGAGGAAAATATGGCTTTGTTTAAAACAAACTGACAATACCAGTTAAACAAGCAATAAAATAGAAAGGGTCGAGAATTTGGTTTTTATTCTTATTTCTGCAAGTCTGGTGAAAGTTCTTGCCTTCACTAATGAGACTGATACTGTGCCTATCAATATTTCATTTATCCAACACATATCGTGTGTGCCCCTACTATGCACCAGGGTGCTGGTTACATAATAGCCCAAATCCATAAGGTCCCTGCCCTCACAGAGCAGATGGATTTAGACAATGAATCCCACAAACAAGTACATAACTATTTATTATGAGAACAATGAAGGAACACTACTGGGTGTCAGGAGAGGAAAACAGGAAGACCGAATTTAGATTGGAATTAATCAATTTAGGCTGGGGCTTGAAAGATGCCCCCAAATTTGCGAGATGAAGAGCTAGAAGACGAGAATCCCAGAGGGCATGGCTGAGAGGAAGGTCTTGGGTTTTGCCTTCCCAAATATTAACAAAGCAGCAAGCTAAAGTGCAAGAAACAACAGCAAGGAACGGGGACTGCCCCTCACGAGAGGATTCTGATTTTCACCTAAGAGGAGTGGCAAGTTACTGAAAGATTTAAGCAGAGGAGTAATACCACGTTATTATGTTTTATAGAGATTTTGTCTACTGTTTGAAGAATAGATTTGGAAGGGCTGGGGGGTGGGGGCATGGGGGAGTGCGGGGGTGGGGGGTCATCTCAGAGCCCAAACTCTCCAGCTGATTTTCAGATCCTTCCGCAAAATGACCCATCACCTCTCCTTACTTCCTTCTATACAATGTCCAGCCACACAGTACAACACATCATTCTGAATCTTACTCTCACACAGTGTTTGGCTATGGTTTTCTCTCTGACAACTCTGCTCCCTTCTTTACCAGTTAAAAATCTCAACAGGCTAAAGGAGACCCACCTGACTCAAAGTCCAATGCCTCCATGAAGATTTTTCACTACTTTTTTTTCCTAGTGGAATATATATATATATTTTTAAGTAGGTGCTACACCCAGCATGGAGCCCATAACATGGGGCTTCAACTCACCACCGTGAGATCGAGACCTGAGCTGAGATCTGGAGTCAGCTGCTTAACCAACTGAGTCACCCGATGCCCCCTCCACCCAGGCGCCCTGTTTCAAATGTGCAACAGCAAATAAGTCCTGAATAAGGAACTGATTTTGGCTTGAACTGCCTATGCTTCAGTTATTTGCCTCCTGAAATAACCTAGTATACAGCTGCCCAGCCTCAGAAACATACACGCAAGTCATGGGCTAAAAACCATTGATAAAGAGATTTTTCTTTTTACATTTTTAGTAAACTGTAAAATTTGATTTAAAAGACAATTTTCAATTATTTTTTGTGCTGATGATATAAATCATATTTGCACACATACATACCAACAAGACATTGCAGTTAGTTAATTCTTTTTATTTCCATGCTTACTAATCTCTCGCTAGTTGCGGCAAAAAGGCATGAGGATGTCTGATGAAATATATTTGACCCGACAGACTTTAAGAATGAAAAAGAGCTAAGTCTGAATTTAGCGAGCCAAATTATACCTATAAAGTTATATTTTTCACCCGAAGCTGCCCTACAAGTGGGTCATAGTTTCATCTAGAAGGAACAACCAGATTGACTCAGACATGAAGTTTGTTATATTACACTTGAATTTATTGTTTATGCTGTACCGACTTCCAAAGGGAATTATGACTTCCTTTAAATGGGAATGGTCAGTAACTATCCCCTGCAACCTGCTGAAGTGTGGTTCCTCCCTGAAACGCCCCATACAGAGTAGCAGACTGATCTAATGGACTCAGACCTTGCGGTTTGGCTTCAATCCGGTCAACGAATGCAGACAAACCATAATCGGTCACATGCACAATTGGTGGTTCTAAAACATCATTCTGTCTGGGAGAAAAAGCCCAACACAGAAAATAAGGGATTTTTATAACTTTGATGACAGGTGACTAGTGCAGTATCTTCAAAATAATTTTACTGCAATCATTTTAGGAAGAAAATATCATCCATATTGACTCAATGATGAAATTTTGACTAAAGGAAACTTCTGAAACAAGCTGACATCTTACTCTGATGTCCCCAGAGGAATCCGTCATCGCTTACCTTGATCTCTTTCATGCCATGTTCGGCTTCCAGCAGCTGGTGAATTCGGAGACGGATAGAAGTCTCCTGTAGGACTTGGTTCCATATTTTCATCTATGGATATAGTTTTGGGTCTTTTGCTGTTAAAATATGACAACAGTTGCATTAATGGGATGTCTAAGGGGGTGTGTAGCAGGTGAAAGTATGTAATTTGACAAGATTCTTAGTATGAAAATTTCCATAAACACAAGTAATAGCATCTCAGAATCATTTCTGAAATAATGGAGAGTATTCCAGACTTCAATAGGAGTAGCAAACGCTTCTAGTTGTATATGTCATTTATTACACCATATTATACCTATACCTGCCTAACGATAGGGTGCTTATTATATTTACCTTTTGAAATGTGTTTCCAAAGAAACTTCTGTAGTAAAAAGTGAATTTTTGATGTGATATGTGTACTAACTTTAAAATTATTAAGATTACACCTGACTCTTATCATTATTATCAATGCTAATAATATTTATTAGCATAGCGCTTGCCATACCAATGTAATTCTTTCATACTAATTCAAACATAAGGCGAAGGAGTCAGTAGAACATGAGCTTTGGAGTGGAACCAGCCTAGTAGCAAATCTTGACTAGGCCACTCACTACTTCTTAATAGTAAGCTCCTTAACCTTTCTAAACTCAGTTTAATCATTTGTAAAATGGAAATAATAAAACCTAGTTCAAAGAGGAGTGGTTGAGAGGATTAAATGTAAAGCTCTTAGTTAAGTGGCTGGCATTTAGAAGATACTTATTAAGTAGTAATTATTAGTAGTAACCATATAATTAATAATATAAAAATTTGTGTAAGACTTTATTGATTTTAAATTATTTCATATATTCTTCTTTATATTTTTTCTAAAAAATTAGGTTATGATCTTTTATTCTCAAGAAAATTGGTCATTGCCAAATTCAAACAAACAGTATATTTTTATTTTTTAAAAAAGATTTTATTTATTTGACAGAGAGAGACACAGTGAACGAGGGAACACAAGCAGGGGGAGTGGGAGAAGGAGAAACAGGCTTCCTGCCGAGCAGGGAGCCCGATGTGGGGCTCAATCCCAGGACCCTGGGATCATGACCTGAGCCGAAGGCAGACGCTTAACAACTGAGCCACCCAGGTGCCCCAAACAGTATACTTTTAGAAAGATACATTTTAGGGACGCCTGGATGCCTCAGTTGGTTAAGAGTCAGACTTTTGATTTTGACTCAGGCCATGATCTTAGGGTCGTGAGACTGAGCCCTGCATTTGGCTCCATGCTAGGTGTGAAGCCTGCTTAAGATTCTCTCAATAAATAAATAAATAAACAAACAAATAAATAAAACAATTTAATAAAGAAAACATGGCTCATCCCAGTTATTAAGAAAAATGAATATTTAGGGCAGAGATTAAAAAGTTATGTCATGGGGGCACCTGGATGGCTCAGTTGGTTAAGTGTCCGACTCTTGATTTCGGCTCAGGTCATGATCTCAAGGTTGTGGGATCAAGCCCTGTGTTGAGCTCTGTGCTGGGCATATAGCCTGCTTAAGATTCTCTCTCTCCCTCCCCAAACCGCCCACCCTCCTGCCCCCGTGCTCAAAAATAAATAAATAAATAAATAAATAAATAAAAATTAAAAGCTATGTCATGGCATAGGACATCTTGCATGATATACTCCTACATATATTCCCATCAATACCCTATTAAATGGTCAATTATGACTATGAAAATGGATTTTTTTCTTTAAATTGAAAAAAAAAGAACCACAGGTAAAAACCAAAGAGAGATATCTTCTGAATTAATTTTGTGTAGTGTTAATAAACATGTCATAGGATTTCAGAGTTGGAACTGACTTTCTAAGTCCTACCCGTAAATCAGTCCTCCCTTTTCTCACAAATGGGGACACAAATTCGGAGAAATTCAGTGAATTCCCAGGGCATGTTAGTGGAAGTAGTCTGCCACAAAGTAAGGACTTCTGACTTCCAAGACCGTGTTTTTTTTTTGCTGTACTGTTTCCAAATCCTAGAAGCCTGTGTACATCTGGAATCCTAGAAGCATGGGTACGTATTCACAGAGGTACTTGTGATTAATATTTGACTCACAACTCCCAGAGTATTAACATGATGTAGAAGATAGCAGTTTTTATCCATGCGACACCACAATGGGAGTAAATAATAGTCCTTTAATTTATTCCTATGGTATCCAAAGTTAGAATGCATGGTTTTTTAAACTCTCCTTTAATCTAATTCTCTCAGCTGTGAATCAGTAGTAAATATGTACAGAAGACTTAAAGTGAGAGAGAAAAGTTTTTAATAAGGAAATAATAGAGAAATGTTTTTGAAACCTTCTGAATGGCATAACATCTGAAACCAAATGACTCTGAAGAAATATCTGTGTTGACAACATACTGATCCATCAGACCAAATAGAAACGTACTATTCATATTTCAAATTTAGAAAAACTAAAGCATTTTTAAGACCCAACCATGTCATAGACAATCTGAGTGACAATAAACCAAATTACTTTGCTATGTAACCTAACAATATGAAGACACAGTTTGACCATAAATGATATAAAATTGAACTTAGTTAATAAACATAAAAAGTGCACAGCCCCGTAATTAATTCAAATGCAATTGACTTTCATTATTGAGAAGAGCATAGGAAAATAATTACCCAATATTCTTTTATTCTTAAAAAAATGAATATTATAAAATGAAATGTTTTGCTCTGCAATTCATGTATGCTCTTACATTTGACCATGGGTATATGTAATGCTCTGAAAATGAGATGGATCTTCATATACTGAAGATCCAGCTTAAAAAAAACCCAATAAAGCTATAATATTTATTCATCTTAGTTCTCAGTAACTCAGTCCTCTTCTGGCATCCAATAACAGTGGAACATATCATCACTAAATCCTGCGCAAACAACTTTCCAAGCTATTTATCCCTCATTTAAATAGGAAACCTCTTTTTAAACTTCTGTGGGATTCAAAGTTACAATCAGAAAGTCAAGAGAGAAAAGTGAGAATGTTAACAGGGAACTAAAAAGTACAGTAGCCTCGCTGTAGCTCTTGCCCCTCAAAGGCTGGTCAAACCAAATCTCAGAGCAAGTAATACTTTCATTGGTGACTAAGAATCAACTAAATTACTAAAAAAAATACCGACTCACTGAAGACATTAGCAAAGTGTGGCCTAGAATAAGACCTTTCCTTTAAGGTTAAGTAGATGACACATTTTATTTTTCACGTTTTACTATACCCAGCTTGGATGTGATATTAGGGTAGAAGTTACCAGGATGGATCAATCTACAGACAAGGGCTCTCTGCCATGACAACAATGCTTTTAAGTCACTAAAAGATTTAGTGAACTTGTAGAATTCTAATATTTCATAGAAAAGAATAAAATCATATTCATATTTTTATATGAAGGGAATATAATTCCCTTGTCCCACCCAAAAGATGTTTCTAATGTTTTGAACAATTCCATTTAATTTTCAAATATCAAAATAAATTTAACCAGGTAAGAGTAAAAATTCATGTAGAATCAGCAAAAAGTCTTGAACTCTTGGCTTTGTTTCCCCGATCTCTTTATCTACCTACCTATCTGCGTATCTACCTATCTACCCAGCTGCATATAGACTGAGAACAAGTGCAACTCCTCTTTCAGTTACCTGCTTGGTGGAGAAGACAGTGACCTCTGAAGATTGACCCCCGAGTTCATGTCATGATAGTATGGTTGGCTCGGGATTTCTCCAATTGGGAAGTTGACTCCAGTTCCCTGGGTTATGGGCGCTGAGGAATAAAACAGAAAGAAACATCAGGAATGACTTTTACACTGGTCATCTCTATTTCAATGTAATAATCTAATACGTTCCACACCTCCGGGCAAACTCTCTTTACCCTGAGACTCTAATACCAACCGTCCACCAGGGTATGACTTGGAGACCTCCTCAGGACGCCAGCGTTCAAGTCTGGAAACTTGAGGCACTCAGACTATAATCACTGGTTACCACTTCCCCTATTCCCACTCTCCAACCTTCTTCACTCACTCCTTTGTATTAGTTTTCACTACATCTGTCACCACACTAGTCTATAGATGCGTCAGAGGAAACGACATGTTTCCTATTGCTCAGCACCAAACAAGGTGCTTTGTATTAAGTTGGTTCTTTTTTTTTTTTTAAGGTTTTATTTATTTGAGAGAGAGAGAGCATGAGCAGGGATGGGGAGAGGGAGAAGCAGGACCCCCCCACCCCCACCCCGAGCAGGGACCCAAAGAAGGGCTCAATCCCAGGACCCTGGGATCATGACCTGAGCCAAAGATAGATACTTAACCGACTGAGCCACCCAGGTGCCCTCTAAGTTGGTTCTCAAAAACCAAATCGCTGTTGAGTTAATGAAATTCAAATATTAACATGGTAAAATGCATTAGAAATCATATGAATAATTACTTGGTATAACGAATTCTTTTTTTTTTTTTTTTAAAGATTTTATTTATTTATTTGACAGAGAGAGACACAGCGAGAGAGGGAACACAAGCAGGGGGAGTGGGAGAGGGAGAAGCAGGCTTCCCGCCGAGCAGGGAGCCTGATGCGGGGCTCGATCCCAGGACCTGGAATTATGACCTGAGCCGAAGGCAGACGCTTAACGACTGAGCCACCCAGGCACCCCGGGATAACGAATTCTTATATTAGGACAGGTACACAGGTAAAGTTGACAAATGTGAAGAGCCAAGCTTTTTTTCCCCAAAATACATATTCAAGTTCATATATGAATAGTTAAGTGTGGTTTTACTCAATAGTTGGTTTAAAAAAAAAAAGTTTGTATGCCCAACTTTATAACATTCATAATGTATTCATGAAAAAAATTAAAAATAAATTATTTATTAACAAATAAAAATAAATAAAATGTACTCATGGAGTTTTATACTTTAAAGTATTATTTTGTGAATCAAGAAATCTTTTTGACTCTGCTGATATAGTATGAACTGAGATTCTTGTATGTAAGTATTGGTTTTTGTATGATGGTTTACATCTATTCAAATTAAAAAAAATTATTTCTAGACATCTTGAATAGACCCGTGAGGCAGCATGTTGTATTAGAAGGGGTAGAGTCCTGGGAGGTAGCCATTTAGTTTGAACTCTCTCTGCCACTTCTGAGCTATGTGCCTCAGTTTCCCAAGCTACAAAATGAGAATACCAGTCACCTACCCCATATGATTATTTTGAAGATGAAATGGGATAAGGAGTGATAAAAGCCCAGCATCGTGCCTAGTGCATAATAGTTATTCACCAAACGTGAGAGCCCTCTCTCCTTGATTTCTTCCCCACACCTCTTCCCTGGCAGCCTGGAGTGGTTAACAAAGGGTGAACAGCTGAAACCACTGCTAAAAGCAGATGAAGAGTTATAAATGGACCTATTTGTTGAAAGTCTGTTCCTTCAACAAGTTGTTTGTGTCCATTACTGGCAGGTGCTGCAAAGGATACGAAATAGTCTAAGATAGTTCCTGTCCTTAACAAAACAGATTGGGTAACAAGCTGGGTAAACAAAACACTCCTGAAAAAATAGAAATACCGGCATAATGCTGGTTATAATGAAACAGTCCAAGTGAATGACAGCACCAATAAATGCTATGGGATTTCATGGGAAGAAGAACCCAATACAGGCTTGAATGATCCAGGAACCCTCTGGAGAACCCAGAGCTTGCACTGGACTTTGGAGAATGAGTAAGGTCTTAAGGGGAGGTCATTCTCAACAGGGGTTTCTACAAGAGCAACATCTCGGGCAGAGATAATATGCAAGGAGAGACCAGGCAGGTTGGTGTCAAAGGACAGTGCTCAAGAATAGTGTCTTTCTTTACCTTTTTTTATCAGGTCTCCAAAAGCTCTAATGAGCGAAAGTGTGTCCTGGGGCTATGGCAACAAAACTCTAGAGCCCTCGTGATTCCCTCTAAGAACATATAGTCTGCTTAACCTTCCTCTCTTCCAACTGCTTCAAACTGAATACACGATTCCAAAAGGACTGCAGATTTTCAGGGAATTTTTCTTCCCCAGAATTTTGATGTGTTCACTACATGTGTTCGCTGTCAGCTGAATTGTATGTCAATAGCAGGTCGGTCAAGATTTACTTATAATATTTTTAAGAAAGTACGACTAGGAAGCACATGTGTTATTGCAGAGAAGTAATCAAAGAATATACGATGAATCTCTCTCTTCCCCTATTAAAAATTAAATCATTATATACAAGATTAGTCTCAGCTCCAAACTTCTGGAGTTTATGCCTTCTATTAAATTATTCTTTTTATATAATGTATTTTAACTTCATTTTAATAACACAGAAAATATTTGTATTCAATGGGTAACTATGCCAAATGGCTTGAATTCTTTGGGCAGCTAAAATGTAACTGTTTGTTGTGGCTTGAGGTACACCGGAGGTTTAAAAAAAAAGGCAAGGTAAGAAATCCCACAGTAACCACATGCTTTCAAGTTTATTATTAGAACCATGTTCTATGTGACATTGGAAAGCAGGGTATGTGCTAGAAGGAGGCATTTGAGGGACTCAGGGAAAGCCAGTAATCTGTCCAACCTTCTGCAACAGTAATGGATACAATTCAAAGAACTGAATTACTAACAGGAAACTTACAGGTTATAACTTATGTAAAGTACTTAAAATTTATGAAGCTCATGCAACATTTAAGCAACGGATCTGTAGTTTCTCTTTCATACATATGGCTTAGGAGTCAACACAGATTGCTTGGCCATAAACATACTAGAAGAAATTTATAGTAAAATAATAAAAAAAAAATCTTTGGAAATTTTGTTTTTCTAAATCCTCTTGAAGAAGGATTATTACAGAGTATCAGGACAGCAATCAAAATAATTTATCCACAGATTTATACATGACCATTGCAAAAATGTAATGTGCCTTCGGACATTAAAGGGGAGCTTACAAGAAGAGGAGTAGATTAATAATAAACCTGGGCAAATTCTAAAGCAGCACTCACTAAATGTATTTAATAATAAAGAGAGTCTGTGAGCATGGCAAGTCTGAGGCTGATATTCCTGTTTAAAAGCCTCTGGAAGAACTTACATCAGATGCAAAGATCAGCGTTAGCACCTCTCCTGGAGAGCTGCAAAGTCTGAAAGCTGCAAATCATGTTTAAGAGGCTGCCAATATCCTCTTAGAAATGAAGCTCCAAAGAACCTCAGATTCTAAGGGTTAGAAGCCAACCCTTAATCTCTCTTACTGTTCTTCTCACTCCAAAAGCTGATCCTAAATCAACTTTCAAGATGGAGATAATATCATTCAACAGAAAGATCACTATCCTAAAACTGAGGAGCTTCATTAGCTAAAGTCAACAGACACATTAGCAGGTCATACGATAGTCAAACCCTGGAGGCCAGAAACCATTAACATACTGTAAACCCTCAAGAAGTCAGAACTTGTGATATACAGTGTAAGGGTCGCGCTGAAGTTTCTGCTTACTTAGCAAACCCGTATTTCATAAACAACGAAGTTCAATTGTGTAAATAAGATTATGATGTGGATATATTAAAACACTTAGGAGAATAACTTCTCAAGCATTTCAGAGACACCTATTTACATACAGAGTAGAAAATAAATGTTTGCTGAATAAATTAATGAATGAATATAGATAATATACTAATTACAGATCAGTAACGTGTGTTGTAACATAACTTAAAGACCTCTAAGAGAGGATGGTATCAGTTTAAAAAGAATGAGTGAAGTATATTAAACCTACCTCAATTTTGAACTGTTCTGGAAAGCTGTCTTTTAAATCTTTATTTATGTGTAAATTCAGATTTTTCAAAATATCACTCTGGGCTTTTAAAAGTTCTATGTGGCTGTCCTTCTATAGCATCTAGCATGATGTCACCTATAATGAGGAACTGATAATATTGTCTAAAAGATGCCTCTTTGGTCCTTCTCATGAGAAGGAGGAAATATAGCATGAAATTTAAGAAAAGACAAATTTAAACAAATAATGTTATAATGTCTCGTAACTGTAGCAGAACAGTGTAGGGAAAACATCCCCCCCCCACACACAACACCGCCCCACACTTTCAAATTCCCCCTTCCTTACATGATGCCAGAAAGTGGCACTGAGTAAGTCAGGCACGTTCCTTTCCAAATTAAAAATAAACACAAAACTTTCAAATGTCAGAGGCCTTCCATACCACGTTATTGATTGGGAAAAACATGCAAGGCTCATGGCAGAATGGAGAAGACCATCAGAATCCTCCTATTCAGCAAACATGAACCCTAGAGTTGCTGGGATATAGGATATTAGGTTTTGGTCTCCTGCACTGCCCTAAGTAAACAGATCCGTGACAGAAGTCTTTGGGGGCATGTATTTATCTACCGCGGAATACAACAGAAAGGATAAGTTACTGAAGGTCTTAAATGTTCATGTATACAACTCCCTGAGATACAAGCTATTTGCACTGGCCACTCTAGAAAGAGGAACTCTTTAAGAAAGTCTGGTTTGAAAGACAGTCACCACCCAGCCGGGGGATTACTTCACTGACCACAACTCTAACTCACTACCTAAACTTACCCTCAGTAACTTGCTTTGTTCTTTTGGGATCACCATAATTCCCATTCAAGTATTCTGAATTTGACCCAGATGAAAAACACAACTTAAACAAGGACCGAACACCACTACATCATCTGAGTAACATCATTCCAAACGGCGACGCTCTCTAACAAAATGTCAGGTAAAAATATAGCCTTCAAAATTACATAAATAAGCTAAATCAAAGAGAACAAGAAGAAATGAGTCACCTCCTTTAACATGATGAATGCCTTAAGAGCTACATCTTAGGTATATTTGTACACACTAGTAATACGTAGAAGACTTAAGTCCATACACTACTCCCTTGCTTAGGTAGCTGGCCAGGTGAACTTAACCCAAGAAAAATTTCATCCGGGCTGTCAAGAATGGTGTCTCAGGTGAGGTGGCCAGTTAAAACAATTGGACATTGTTTTGGATCACAATAGCTTTCTATCTATATCCAAAGTACAATCTGCAAAGTTAATTTCTGCATCCCTCTACACTCTGCATGTTAGTGTGTATATCCTGTACATCTCCAAGCCCCCACCAAAACGTTAGTAAAATGAAAAAGCACTTATCTACAGGAAACTTATGTGGGTTATCATAACAACATGGAGCACATTTAATTAATCACACTTCCTTTGATATAAATGACCATCTATGGTCACAGAAAGAACAGTGAATTAAATGAGTACCAATAACACAGCAATCAGAACAACCCCCCAATTATTTTTGTACTACAAAAGTTTGATGATCTAAATGCAAATATATTTGAAAATCTGACAAAATATATCCACTTATGATTTCATCAAAAAGATGGAAATTTTAAAACTCAAATGTTCCCAGTAAGTGGTTATTCTTAATACTGTGTTGAACGTTCAAAGTAGAAAATATTTTAAATCATACTGTGAAATTAAATAGTAACAAAACAATTTACTTACTTCTGGATACCCTCACAAGTTCGGACACATTGAAGACTCCAGATTTTACAAAACTATCCTCCAGGTAACCTGAAAATAAATATCAAGAGGAAAAAGATCAGCACAAGCAGGAAGCAAATAAATGATTAAATGCTAGGATTTGTTCAAGTGTTTTTAAACCAAAGGTTAGAACAAAAACCAAGCGTGCTTGTAACAAACACAAGTAAAAGCAAAACTCTTTGAACGCAATCCGGGGTCTGTTTAAACAAAAGTAAGAAGTTGAGATGCCAAATAATTTCCTAGGGAAATTTTTCCCCCACTTGCTAAATGTACAGGGCAACTGGAATGGTTTTATTTGCCACAGCCCACGCATAGAGAATGAAGACTCAGGGGTTCTTACCGAATGCATTCAGCTCGGTAGCACCTGGTAGACTAAAGTCCACCCATTTATAAAAAAGAAAGAAAGAAAAAGGAAAACCACAACCACAATTAGAACCTTGTTGGAATTACTTCAAAGATTTCTCGAAACCACTGTTCTTTCACAAATCCTTCCCTGATTAAAGAAAAGCGAGCTGCTGTTAGCAGCACTCCCCGACCCTTGTTCCAAGGTCATGAATCACACAAAAGCAGAACTTGCACATACGGCAAATACTTTGCATAGACCTATTTCCACGCACCTTTGCTATACCTCACATGATTCCACTGCCCTCCCAACTCTTGCTACTACTTCCTTGGACTCCCTTCATTTCGAGAACTGCATACTTTTTCTAGCAAACGGTGATAAACCCCAGGCCTCCAGGAAAGCCACGTGACCCTTCTGTGACACCCAAGTGCAGGGTCCACAGTGACTGTGGCCCACTGTTCAGGAGCCTGAGTAAGTTCTGTGCTGTCTGGGATCTGGTCAAGCTGTGTCCAGGATTAGAAATGAGCACTCCCACAAATACCCGATCACGTCCCCAGCTTCTCATTGATGTGCAGGAGGTGTGCTGAGGGCAAAGAGGGACAGAATACCAGGAGGAGAGATATGGTTACTCTCTGCTTCCCAGGAAGAGAATAAGAAAAGCCCGAAAGCCCTCAGGATGCAAATGTTTCCAGGAAAACAAACTCTAGAACCGGCAACTGGATCAGATGTTACATCAAGTTTTGAGGCTAACCAGGGGATTCGATTCAGGGCAGGACTGTGAGTCATAGGTGGTTTAGCTCTCAAGTCAGGAGCTGGAATTTGACACCCAACCACACTTTATCAGTGTGGAATCCTGATCATGTTATTAGACTCCTGGTGTCTCAGACTCCTCATTTAAAAACTAGAGATAATTGGGGCGCCTGGGTGGCTCAGTCAGTTGGGCGGCTGCCTTCGGCTCGGGTCGTGATCCCAGGGTCCTGGGATCGAGCCCCGCGTCGGGCTTCTCCCTCTGCCTACGGCTCTGCCTACTTGTGCTCTCTCTCTCTCTGTCAAATGGATAAATAAAATCTTTTCTAAAAAAGAAATAAAAACTAGAGAGAATAAAATTATTATGAATGATAAGTGAGATAAAAACATTAAATCCATCGTAGGCACTGATTCAATGTTCCCAATGAGTTAGGATTGGCCAGTGGGGTCACCAGTCACCTATACATTGAATTACACACACTGGATTCCGGACGGTCTCAAATTACGTGTAAATCTTTATTTAGAAATTTTACCAGAACAAAAGCTACCACACTACTTTTTAACTGTACATAGCATGAAAAGATAGAAAATCATTCAATGAGCTCCTATGCTTCACTGTTGTGAACTGAGGAGCCATGCATGTCTGAACATTAGTATACCCATCGATTACCTTCTTTAGAAACAGAACAAAAGAAAGAGTGTGAAGGAGTTATGAGATCTCAGCTGGTGATAAAACTTAGGTATCATATTAAGTCCTACTCTGAAAAAAACAGACATTTTTAAGAGGGTAATGACAAAATGTCCCCATTTGATGTACCTGTATTTTAAGAAACTCCTACTTCTTGAGCAACTTAATTTTTCACCAGGTTGAATGCGTTTCAGTGATTATTGAGCAACTTTTAGGTAGCCTACACTGTACAAGGTACTTAAAGCCATGAAGACAAAAAAGGGACATTAAGTCCCTTTGTGTGGTTGGGGGAAAAGATATTTTCAATTTTCTGAACCATGGTAGGTTATTATTGTATAAAACAACAACAAATGCAATACACATTTTTGTAAAGTATAATAAATTATACTTTATATACAGCAAATATAAAATTTTATACTTGGCAAATACATTAAATATGAAGACCTCATTTATCTTTTTTTTTTTTTTAAAGATTTTATTTATTTATTTGACAGAGAGAGAGATAGCGAGAGCAGGAACACAAGCAGGGGGAGTGGGAGAAGGAGAAGCAGGCCTCCCACCGAGCAGGGAGCCCGATGTGGGACTCGATCCCAGGACCCTGGGATCATGACCTGAGCTGAAGGCAGACGCTTAACGACTGAGCCACCCAGGGGCCCAAGACCTCATTTATCTTGATGGCAGCTCATATACTTAACCAATCAGACAAGATTATTTGTCCTCACCCAATTGTACTCTGTAAATGCCTGCCCTCCTACCTTTCTCATGCAGTTCCCTCCATCTGATCAGATGGCCCCCCCTCTCTCTCTCTGCATACTCTGTCCTCATCCTGCAATGTCCAGCTCAACCACCATCCACTCTGTAACCCGTTCCCCTCTACCCTCCTCTCTCAATCCCTGCGCCAGCCAGAAATGATCTCTTTCTTCTGAATTCACAGAGCACCTGGTCAGTACTTCTTTACATCACTTTACACATTCAAGTGTCCAGGATATCTGTTTTCAAGTCTTGTGTTCCTTATTGGATTATCAGCTCCTTTATTTGGGAGAGTGACTGGGTTTTGTTCATCCCTGAATCTCCCTTAACAACCAACTCAGTGCCTATATATATACTAACCACTAAATCAATGCTTACAAAGAACAAAATTTTAAATTTTAACCTTTTGGAACAGGGTCATAAATAAGCATCTTAGTAATTATGTAATAATGTAGGTATAGATGGCTTAAGGTTGAAGCATAACTATACTGACTCCTGTTATTCCCTGGAACTCATCTGCTGAGGAGTTTATTCAGGCTTTTGGGTAGAAGGGGAAAGAATGATGATTAGATGACTTTGTTACCTACTAGTGTACAACTTGAGGCATTTAGTACAAAGTAACTACCAAGAAACCAGAAGTGTTTAAAGAGTCAGAGTTCAAATAAATATATTTGTAAAATAAATTGATGAGTGAGTGACTAGGGAACATTTCAATATATTTATATAAATTAAATCATGTGTCATACGTAATAACATTTCAATATGTAGATACCATCTGAAGTTCATTTCCTTATTACTCCAGTGAGTAGTCAAGGCTCCACCCGCTTCTTCATCATACTCATGAAGACGGAATGGCGTGTGGACGTCAGGAGCCAAATCATACGGGTGGGAGGAGCCCCCTCAAGCTAATCCTACTAGCGGAAGACAGGCAGTCACACACAGGCAGATACAATGACTATCTCATAGAAAAGGGAAAGCAGTTCGGAATGCAGCAGGGTGCTTCTCCATCCCTCACCTCAAGTTCCAAGGAATCTGAATCGACAAGGAAACCTGAAAGAGTTATTTTGCTGAAACCATGAAAGGCACTGCAATTATGTCAGAACTGCTTTGGCACCCACTTGACAAAATGCAACACCCACAGGTCCCGCTGGGCTCCAGTCCTGCATGGAGCATAGTGAGACTTCACAGAAAGGAGGGCCCCCTAGGATGAGCGGTAACGCAACCCCCCCCCATGACCTTATGGCAGTAGGGGCTGGGAGGAATCAGGCAACTGGGTAACCTGGGAGAAGCCCCCGAAGCAGACGGCTGCCTCCTCCATTCATCTTTGCACACAGCACAGCCTTACGATGGACAGGCATTACCCAAGATGAGGAGGGCAAAGGAAATAAATAGTGGAGGACAGAGGACTTGGATAGCTAATAGCACACAAGAAAGTATATAAGAAAGAATGCATAAGGACTCTGGCAAAATAACCGGGGAGAATCATGCAGAGTGTCAGGAGCCCTGTCAAAGTACAGAGGATGAGACTCAGCAAAATGCAGGTTATTACTATTAACACAACCCCATCTGTAACCTCCAGCCTGCTGGGGCCTTCCAGAAGCATGGTTTTCATGTGTTACCTAGACCACTGTGAATCTAAATAGCTGATACAAAGGCCAACGACTTTAAATCGATTTGGAGACATTCATATAGTGAATTCCCTTCATCTACCAAAGGAAATATGAGCATCTCTGAGGCAGAGCAGCTGCTTAATGGTTACAGAGCAATATTACACAACAGCTTAAGCCAAGAAGCAAAGAACAACTCGGCATTTATGTGATGCTGTATTTACACTACATGTAATGCTTTTTAAAAAATAAAATTGAGTAGGAAATAAAGACCTCTGCAAACTGAAAATTCTCAAAGGCACTATCAAATTATATTATTTTACTTCTTTTTTTTATTTTTCTCTAACAAAAGCAACAATAAATCACTACTCAGAAGTTAATATAGTGTTTAACCTCCTTTACAAACAATAACAAAGGGACACAATGGCATATCTAACTGTTAATATCTCAAATTATAATCAGCTCCATTTGAATGTTAAACAACATTTACATAGAAAATCCAAAGGAAAACTGATAACGCTCATTTTTATAGTCTACTGTGTTCTATTCTTGAAATTAAAAAAGAAAAAACCACAGAAAGCAGTTATTAAATTCATGAAAGCTGTCTTCAAGTATTAGAAGGACTGTTAATGTAGATGTTGGATAAGACTTCTTCTGCATAGTTCCAGGAACTGTTTTTTGACTCAATAACCAGATTTAAGAAAAGTCCTAGAAGGGAATAGGAAACCTTGCAAAGGTGGTAACAGCCAACACAGGCCAAGCTACTGCTCTAAGATCTTCAAAAGCATTAATTCACAATGCTCCTAATTATCCTACCGGTTGTCATGCAAGCATTCCCATTTTACAGATGACGAAACTTGTGTCTACAGAGATAGGGGGTTTCCCAGAGGCAGTA